TGTGTGTAAGTGAATGTGTATATATGTGTGAATGTGTATGTGTGTATATTTATGTATGTGTATGTGTATATATGTGAATGTGAATATGTATGTGTATGTATATGTGATTGCATGTGTATGAATATATGTGTATATGTGTGTGTTTATGTGTATGTGTATGTGTTTGTGAAATGTATATATGTATGAGTATTTATGTATGTATATATGTGTATATGTGTGAATGTGTATGTGTGTTTGTGTATATATGAGTATATGTATATAAAAATATATGTGTATATATATGTATGTATGTGTATATATATTTGTATGTGTAATGTTTGTGTATGAATGTATGTGTATATAGGTGTATGTGTATGTGAAAATGTATATATGTACGTGTATATATAGTATATAATTTTTTTATATTTTTTTTTAAAATTTTAAAACATTTGCGACGGAATACGACGGAAAAAATTCCGTCGCAATTTGCGACGGAATTATCCGTCACTTTCCGTCGCAAAACACAGATTTCTTTCGTTGCAAAAATGCGACGGATTAACGACCGTTATACGTTTGCGACAGCGCTATAGCGACGGAAATAAGTCCGTCGCTTTTCGTCGCAAATTCTTAATTGCGACGGATTTCCTTTGTATTTGCGACGGATTTTTCCGTCGCTATATAACTGTTTTTTTGTAGTGTTTCTTCTTGGATTGGATTGAGGTGGAAAAACTGTTTTTGAATTTTTCAAATCTTTATTTTTTATACAAACTTTTATGTACTCTGTTTATAAATGTGTCATATCACTGCTCACTACACATGAAAAGGTCATTTTACCTATTTTTCTGTATATATATATTTATATGTATGTATGTATATATGTATGTATGTATGTATGTATGTATGTATGTATGTATGTATATGTATTTATGCATGTATGACCAAATAATAAGATTAATCCAATATCAAAATAACGAATTATAAAGTTCGGCTGATGCTCAACATCTCCCAGACAATAACAAATTTGAGACCGTCGTTTATCATGATGCCCACATAACCCATTAGTATCTATCGTGTGCATACACATACAAATGATTGTTTGAAATAATTAAAAAGTATATTATTTAATAAAAAAAAAAACAAGTCTTACAGTCAACGTGTCATATCTCGGTTTCGGATATAAAAAAATGAATGAGTCCAAGTCTTTTAAAACAAAAAAAAAATTGAATTGGAATTGAGTTTTAATTGAATACGAAAATAAATGGAAATACATGTGTTTATTAATAAAATTTATATAGAATAAAAATTGAATGGAATCAAATTCAACATAAAAATAAATTATTATATTTCAAAACAAAAAAAAATCCCATTTACCAAGATAGGACATGAAATTCAAGTAAAAGCTTACGATCAAAAGGGTAGTGGTGGCCCAATATCAACCACCACCGCCGATAAACGTACAAAATATTTATAAGACCAAGTCTGCATGCCGTGTCGTACGGGTTTATTTAAAAAAAAATATATTTTCATCCCATTCATATTTTATAGTTGACTCACCATGGTTATTTTCCACTTAATCTTTTTTTATTAAAGTTTGAAGAAATTAATTAACATTGGATATCCGTTAATCAAGGGATTAATCAGTTGATATATCATAATCATGCTTTGTCTTTTATATCGCCCATCTATATATATATATATAACATATAAATCTATAACCGTAGAAAATTACTAATAACAGGTCCGTTCTAGATGTTTCAAATTCATGCATTTCGATGTAAGCATTGATGACGCACAAGACGTACATTTATTTTGACACTTCATCGTGAGACCGAAACCCTATATATCCCAATAATATTTCACGTTACATAAATTAAATCCAATTATTCAATTTCGTTGAAAAAAATAGTCTCATATGATTTTTCTTGAGGCAACGGAACTCTTCGTTAAGAATGAACGTTAATTGTAGTTAAAAGACAACATAGAAAATGAAATAAGCATAACCCATTAAACAATATATGTTTAAACTTAATTATATTATATTAAATACTAACGTAAGCATATGACTGGCTTATAAAATAACAGTTACTTATTCAAAGTCAAGCGCTCACCATTGAAGACCTAACCCAATTAGCGAGATCCATATAAAACATCGGCATTCACATATATAGAAATATACATATACAACATGTCAATGCTTTGAGCGCATATATACATATATATAGACATAATTTTTATCATTTCTAACACTTTGGTAGGGAAAAAATCACATATCAAGAAGAGAGAATGGCTTCTAGCACAAAAAGACTTCACTTTGTATTGATCCCTCTTATGGCGCAAGGCCATCTAATCCCCATGGTTGATATCTCCAAGCTTCTTGCTCGGAAAGGCACCGTTGTAACCCTAATTTCAACCCCTCAAAACGTTTCCAGGTTCGAGAAAACGATAGATCGGGCAAGATCGGAGTCGGGTCTTGAAATTCGTATCGTGAAATTTCCATTTCCTTACAAAGAAGTTGGCCTGCCAAGAGATTGCGAGACTCTCGACACTTTGCCCTCGAGAGACCTTCTGAAAAAGTTCTACGATGCGGTGGATAAGTTGCAAGAACCATTGGAACGGTTTCTTGAGCAGCAAGTAATCCCCCCGAGTTGCATAATCTCTGACAAATGCCTTTCTTGGACATCAAAGACAGCGGAAAAGTTCAAGATTCCTAGGATTGTGTTCCATGGAATGTGTTGCTTCTCTCTTTTGAGTTCACATAACATTAATCTTCACGGTTCTCACCTCTCGGTCTCTTCAGATTCAGAACCTTTTGCAATCCCCAAAATGCCGCAGAGGATTGAAGTGACTAGAGCTCAGTTGCCCGGAGCATTTGTGAAGTTAAAAGATTTGGACGCCATTAGAGACAAGATGCGAGAAGCTGAATCAGAAGCCTTTGGAGTTATTGTGAATAGCTTCCAAGAATTGGAGCAAGGTTGTGCAGAAGCGTACGCAGAAGCAGTCAAGAAGAAGGTATGGTGCATCGGACCCGTTTCTTTATGCAACGAAAACGCTTCAGAGAGATTCGAGAGAGGAAACAACGATAACATCGCTATAACTGAGAGTGAGTGCTTAGATTTTCTAGATTCCAAGAAACCGAGATCTGTCATCTACGTATGTCTTGGTAGCCTATGCCGGTTAATTCCAAAGCAACTTATGGAATTAGGTTTAGGGTTAGAAGAATCGGACAGACCCTTCATCTGGGTTCTGAAAACCGGGGATCAAAGGCAAGTAGATGAGCTAGATGAATGGCTAAAACGTGAAAACTTCGAAGAGAGAGTGAAGGGAAGAGGGTTAGTGATAAAGGGTTGGGCTCCACAGACAATGATACTCTCACACAGTTCGGTCGGAGGGTTCTTGACACACTGTGGCTGGAACTCGACAATAGAAGGGATATCTTCGGGAGTTCCGATGATCACATGGCCATTATTCGCCGAGCAATTCCTGAACGAGAAAATGATAGTAGAGGCTCTCGAGATCGGAGTTAAGGTCGGAGTCGAGATTCCTGTGAGGTGGGGAGATGAAGAGAAAGTTGGAGTGTTGGTCAAGAAAGATGGAGTTGTCAGAGCCATAGAGTTGTTGATGAACGAAGGCGATGAAGAGAGCGGAATGAGACGAAAACGGGTCCAAGAACTTGCGATTAGGGCAAGAAAGGCTGTGGAAGAAGGAGGATCTTCCAATAATAACCTATCGATTTTGATCCAAGATGTGTTGAATCAATTGGCATGAAGGTACACACCGATACATACATATGTTTGTGTACTTTTGGTATCCTTATACCTTGAACTAGCAATTAAAAAAGCACCGAATAAAATTTCTTGGATCTAATATTAATACTCATTAAAATTTTGAAATTTTGATATAAAATTTTGAAATGATTAAAAATTGGTCGTGTGTTCTGAATTTGATTGGATTATCCAAAGCCCAATGAGGTTTCGATTTAGTTAGTTTATATCACCGACTATGTATAATTTCTTACGGGCGGTTCGCGGGATAATCTTGATTAGTAGCATTAGGGTTACGTATCCCGAAATTCCGTTGAAATTAGTTTTAATTATTTAAATAAATTCATTAAAAAGTTAAATAAAATTAGTATTAATTTTATATGTGTGCCAAAAACTAATATCTCTTTTTTTTTTATTATGTCGCTAGTTGTTTCGGATAATAAATTTTGTTAGATCATTCCATAGACTATGATTTTGATGTGGAAGTTTTTTTTATTATAACATGTGTTTGTGTTGAGATATACCGGATCTTGAAAAATATTACAAGATATATCGTATAATGAAGATCTTATCAAATTCGGAAAATATATATTTAGAAATATTTATTATTATATCAATTTTACTTTTTCAATGAAGACTCTCATCTATTTATATGTTATTTTGATTATCAATAAAACATATCATTCCGCAAATTTCTACATGGTATCAAAGTTTCTAGTTCTTTTCTAATTTGTTGTCATTTTCATAAAAATGATGATCGATAATGAGAGTGAAGATGAAGATGATGATATACCGATCTAGTGGTAATATCATTTCGAGTTTTTTTTTTATTAAGAATAAGAGAGTCATTTTATTTTTGTTTTTTTTTTATTTTCTCTCATAATCCCATATGTTTCTAAAGATTATTCGCATAACCGACAATCATCTTATTATTGTCAAAAAATTTATTGTCATTAAACGCTTTGGCTTCGAGGAGAGGTTTCTCGGTTAGGCGGTTAACAAAAATTGAAGACGATATTGAGCAATTGATTTCGAGTATAGACAAAACGATACGCATTGGCCTGTGACTTTCACATACAAGTGAAGCCATGCGTTTGGCATTGAGGGTAAAATGGGAATTTCGGAGGCTCGAGTAGGATCAAATCTTATCCGAACACGTGGTGTTTTTGTTTGGTTAAATTCTAGGATTCAATCATACTCCCTCGGTTTCATTTTTACATAACGTAGAAGCACACAAATTAAGAAAAATAATGTTTTATCCAAAATACTCTTATTTATTGCATAGATAATTATCATTGCTAGAATATTTAAATATTATTAAATAAGGGTAAATTTAGAAAAATTATTAAAAAGTACATTGAAAATCTGAAAATGTCATTTATTTTAGAACAAATTTTTTGTTCTAAAATGTCATTTAAAATGAAATAGAGGGAGTATAAGTTAAATCGGAAATTTGATTGGCGTAGGTTTAAAGAACTACAATCTATTTATATTATTTTTATAACCTATAAGTTTATCGAATTTTTATCCAATTATATCTTATAAAAGATCGAGTGAGTTTTGGTGAATATCCCTTTCCGATATAATCTATTTATGTTGAATACAGTCTATCATTATTTATTTAACTATAATTCGTGTACCAACCAATTACAATTAATTTTAATATATAGTTGTTGAAGAATATCTCTTTATATTTGTAATTTACATCTTTTCTGATGTTTGGTATATTAGATGTAATTCACACAAAAATGTTTTGAAAAAAATAAGTATCATATATACATTTATGATATTAATATAAATATTGTATTTACATTTTCGTTACATGTATTTGATATAAATGAACAAATCTAGGTTAGACGTGTTAGGATTACATATTTTTACTTTTTTATTAGGTAAGAAGTATTAGGTTTATGCACATGATTCCACTAAATTCAAATTAATGCTTTTTTTCTTCTTATCGTATTATTATCGTGTTATTTTTTATTTACTTTCCATAATATTTTTTAGATTTATTTCTATTGATATATATTAAAAATATATTTTTAACAGCACCACAATGTTGATTAAAATTTTAAAAATATTTTGAAACTATGGAATTTGAACTATAATGAAGATGGAGGTGAATAGAAATCGAAAGATTTTGGGATATGGAAATGAATATGCCATTGGAGCTCCACGTGAGTATAAAAGGTAACGAATGGCATATCCCGTTTGGAGATTCTATGATTCCCGATTCTGATTGTCCTTGAACGAAAAACAAAAAATAAAAGCGAATTTTTTTTTTTTGCACTACTTTCACTTTCACATCACCACAAACTCCTCCTGTCTCTTCCTTTTTCCTTTTTCCTTTTAAATCAAACTATTTATCTCTTTTAGATTACAATTTTTTATTCATAATTTGAATTTAAATAGTTTTATTAGATATTGAATTTTAAACAAATTTATTAAAATCAATAGAATAGCTAATTAAAATATATTTGAGAAATAAATATCGTTTTAATTAAACTAGAATCTAAATCGAATAATCCAAAACAAAATACATCCTAGATAAATAAATATATAGTATATTTTCCGAAATAAAAAAAAAAATAAGCATTTCAAAATAATCCAGTGAAATTCGAAATATTCACCTCTATAAAGTTTGTTTTGTTTTATCCTTTTATTTTTTTATTTTAGGTTATTTTACAAATTAAATTTTCCGTCTTCACTTTGGATTTCAATTTATAATTTTTTATATATCTGATTTTAAGGAGCTGATAATTTTTTTCCTGGTATTATTGTCATGCCAAGCCGTATCCAAATTAATTAATTTGGATATTTTTTTGTTTTGGACAATATGCCTAATATGTCGGACTAAGTTAAATATATATTTTAATTCTTTTATTTATAAGTTTAGATGAATTGGAAACTTTATGTTCCATAAGTGGAAAAAATATGCGTTCAATAAAGAATAGTTATACGAATATATCGACATCTAAATTTGGTGGGACACAAAATGAGACAGCCCTTAATATTACACATACACACGCACATATATATGTAACTCCAGTGTGTGTTTATGTATGTATATGTGAGTATAAAAAGAAACCAGAGAAGCATCACATGAAACCCTCTTTTACACAAACACCAACAGGAAAACCACACCCCCTACCATACAATAAACCCTACATAAATAAAATGGTAGGGGGTGTGAGTGATTTTGTGATTCTGATGTGGTTTTGATTATTAATTGCTCAATATCATCACCATCAATCCATCATCATCATCATCACCATCACCATCACCATCATCATGATTGATGGAGGTGTTGGTGTTTGTTCCTCCGTGAAGACCCGCTGTCTGAGATGGCGGGTTCTATCTTACCTTTATAGGGCAACTCGGATCCTTTGGCATTTTTATACTATCTCTTCTCTTTCAGTGTTTATCAGCTTTTTTTCCGATGTGGGACAAGGAGAAGAAGACGGTGACATAGAGAGAGAAAGAGATAGAGAGAGAAAGCTCTTTGTTCCTCTTTTGGTTTGTATCGAGTTCTTGTTTCTGTAATTCTCTTTTTCGTGTGTTTGATGAAGTAATCTGTTGTGTTTCGTGATTAATATTACAATTTCTGCTACAATACATATATATATATATACGCACATCTGTGTGTGTACATATACAATACATATATAATTACATACATGTGCTTTTGTAGAGTCGAATCAAATGGGCGATGTCATAAGTTTGGATTCATTGGTTCCAAGCTTAGTGTTGGGATCCGAATGTTGTTGGACATAGATATAATAATAGTTATTTAATAAGATAAGGTTAGCATACAATATGCGAATACGACATCGTTTTATGGAGTTTTAAATTACCAACAATTAGTAACTTTTTTTTTTTTTGGTATGAATGTGATTCTAATATTATCAAAATAGTGTTTACAAAATCAGTCCTTGACTGCAATCAAAACGACAGTCCCCGACCGTAGAACCCATGATAACAAAACATCAAAACATCAATAGCTAATTACAGAAGCATTGCGTTAATCATTCTGACTACATTAAGACCCACAAAGGAAATACCAATCCTGTAACAGAATGTTACTGATGCCATATCACCCCTTTTGAGTGGAGAGAATGTTGTCGCGAATCAGGTGCTCGATGTGGATCCGCAACTCATGCAGCGTCCTTCTCCTGCCTTCAAAGATTCTAAGATTTCGTTCACGCCAAACCTCATAGACTATCACCTGGGCTATTAGGCGAGCAATTTGGTAGCTGTTGTGGGACATATCACTTTGGCTGATCATCCACGGTGAGCAAACAAGCAGGTCCTCCGGAGGAAGGGGCCAACATCTTGCCGCGTAGTGCTTCCAGAGTGCCGAGGAGAATGGGCAAGCAAAGAAGAAATGGGGATGACTCTCCTGGTCGGCGTTACAAAGAACACATGCGCTGTCCACTTGCAATCCCCATCCCCGCAAGCGGTCTTTAGTTGGTAGTCGGAGTGTAATAGCCTGCCATTGTACAACAGAGTATCTAGGTATAGCCAGCTTAAACCAAATAAGATCATACCATAGAACCTTCTGCTTCGGAGTTCTCAGCTGCTTCCATGTGGAAGAGGAGGAGAAGGAAGCTTTGAACTGCCCTCTATGGTCTCTCCACAGATTCAAGTCCTCACCTTTCTCCGGGTGAGGAGGGTCGGTGGTGATGAGTGTCGCTTGTATAGTTTTCAGGCCTGCTCCACGAGCTGGCGGGAGGTTCCAATGGTTTCCAGATGTCGCATCAATGACCTTGGCCGATTTAGGAATATGAGCAAGACTCGGCCCACTTCCTCCAGATACCGCTATCAATGGCCCGAAGGACAACCAATGATCATACCAGAACCATGTGTCGCTTCCATTGCCCACCTGCTTCCGATGGAATCCTCTTGCTAACACCTGCAAGTGGATGAGTTTGTTGAAGTTCCAGGATTGGTTGGCGGAAGGCTTGCATTCCCAAAAACATCCATTTTTCAGTAAGTGTTTAACACTCCAAGCATACCAAAGAGACCCTGATTTACATAGTAAGGTTCATATCAGCTTCAGCCTAAAGGTTCTGTTCTGTTCTTCAAGCTTACGGATACCCAAACCCCCTTCCGTTCGAGGCAAGCATACAGTGGACCAAGCTATGCGGTGCCCTGTTGATTTATCCGGAGTATTGGACCAGAGAAAAGATGCACACATTGAATCAATGGCCTTGAGAAGAAACTTAGGGAGCACAAACATTGAACTCCAAGAATTAACCATCCCGTAGATAACCGTTGAGATTAACTGAACCCTGCCTGCCATAGATAGAAATCTTGTTTTCCAAAGAGTCATTTTACTCTTTATTCTTTCTAGAAGTGGTTGGAAGTCCCTCTTGGTTAGGCGCCTTGAACTTAGCGGTACTCCCAAGTATTTAACTGGTAAGGAGCCCAACGGTAAGCCTGTTGCCGAAGACATAGCGAGGCTGACATTATCAGAGACACCTCCTAGGATTAGTTCTGACTTTGCTCGATTAATCTGTAGGCCACTGGATACACCAAATTCTGTCAGTAGTAGTAAAACTTCATTCACAGATTCAAGATTACCTCTACAGAAAACAATGACGTCGTCGGCAAACGTGAGATGAGTGATGAGTGGATCTCGACATCTATGGTGTGGGTTCAATCTTCCAAGACTCACGGCTTGGTTCAAGGACTGAGATAAGAGCTCCATCGAAAGGATGAATAAATATGGCGATAGAGGGTCTCCTTGGCGAAGCCCTCTCCGACCCTTAAAAAACCCATGAAGTTCCCCATTTATGGCAATCAAGAACTTTGGGGTTGTGAAACAGAGTTCCAGCCATCTTATAAACCGTGTGGGCAGGTTTATGGTGTGGAGAAGCCTAAGAATCAACCGCCAATCAAGGGAGTCAAATGCTTTCTTAATATCTATCTTCACCATCGCCGTTGGTGTTGCTCCCTGTCTTTCACTAGCTCGGATTATCTCAGCTGCGAGGAGGACATTTTCGGCCATAAGTCTGCCTTTCAAGAAAGCAGCTTGGTTCCTAGAGATCAATTTCTGGAGGATTGGTCTGAATCTTCTTGCCAAGATAGTAGATATAATCTTGTAGAGGGTATTGCAACAACTTATCGGCCTAAAGTCTGAGAGGAACACTGCTCCAGCTTTCTTCGGAACGAGGACTAGAGATGTCGTATTAATCTGACCAAGCAAGGTCCCAGAGATGAAGAACTCCTGTACAGCTCTTATTAGATCCTCGCCTATCGTAGTCCATGCTCCGACAAAGAATTCTTTTGGAAAACCATCGGGGCCGGGTGCCTTGTTGTTAGGAAATGACCAAAGCGTCTGTTGTATCTCCTCTGCAGTAGGTATATCAGTAAGTCCACTGCTGAGTTCAGGTTGGCAACGAAAAGATATCAATGACTGGAGCTGATCTAGAGTGGGAACCCTGACTGTGAGATCCTTCCTGCCAATAAGGTCTGAATAAAAACGAACAGCATAATCACCAATCTCCTGTGGGGATGTGTACTTGTTACCTAGGTCATCTTCGAGATAGCAGATACGGTTATGAGAGTTTCTGAGCTTTGTGATGTTATGGAAGAATGCAGTATTCTTGTCCCCTAGACTGAGCCACTTAATACGCGATCTCTGCCTGAAGAATTTCTCCTCGGCCAGTGAGAGTTCCAACCATTTCTCACGCAGCTTCCTTTCCTCTGTGATTAGAGATGAAGATGGTTCTTCCAGAATTGCAGCCTGTAAGATATTCAAATCCTTTCCAGTCTCCTTAACCCTAGTTGAAATCTGGCTAAAATTAACCGCATTCAGCGTCCGTAACGGTGTTTTCAATAGTTTCAGCGCCTTGGAGAAACGATACTGATGAGTGCCCGTGAGGAATCCCGCTTGCCAATTAGAATGTATCACCTGCTCAAAACTAGATGAAGTGATGAGATGATGATAGAACTTGAAGGGTGATTTCAATACCTTGATCCTATCCGGAAAGTGAACAATGGCCGGGGAGTGATCCGATGGCCCCGGTGGAAAGAATTCTGAAAAAGCATTTGGGAACTTGTCTAGCCATGCTTGGTTCCCCATCACTCGATCTAACTTGATCGAGAGTGGATTTGAGGGCTGATTGTTGCACCATGTGAACCGCATTCCTCGGCCTGGGATGTCCGAGAAGCCTGCTGTTTCTGCACAACTCTGAAATTCTGATGAACCTTGGGAAGTGGCATTAGTGACCATATAATCCGATCGATCCGCCGATGATAGAATTTGGTTAAAATCTCCTAAGATGAGCCATGGAGAAGAGGGAATTGGTTGGGTAACAGCAACAGTCTCCAGATTAAGCCAAAGAGTGCGTCTTTCAGTAGAGGAATTTGACGCATATATGAAGGTAGCAGCCAAGGAAAGGTCATGATCGTGACTCTGAATAAGGCAAGTGACAGCTTGCTTTGAGCAATTTAGGATGATGACAGATATGTCAGGTTTCCAAACAATCCAAATGCGGCCTGTTTGTCCAGCTTCAAAACAGCAAAAATGCCTCCACCCTAAGGGAATCGAGGCCAAGATACGACCCGCATTATGTTCCTGAATGTGGGTCTCCAACAATCCTCCCGCAATGAGCTGATGCTCCAAAATCCAATTTCGAATCAAAAACTGCTTATTCGAGCCGTTAATGCCCCTTACATTCCAGCAAAAAATCATGGGTTAAAGGTGGGTTTTATTTACATCTCGAGGCCCCTCGGCCTCGGCCTTTACCTCGTCCACGTCCTCTAGACTTCACCGTTATGAATCCCTCATTCTGGATCTGTTGCTCCTCCGTTGGGGTACAACTAACAGGGGAAGTGGGGTCTGATTGTGATTGGCTAGTTGGTTCTTGGCATTGTTCCTTCTTCTCCCCACTCGTTACTTTCGTTTTAGGATCTTCCTTTGCTATGGAAACCGGTAACTGGGTCTGGATTGGCGGGGAGGATGTTGTTTGTGTCCCTAAATCACCATCCTGCGATTGCTTGGGCACTTTGGAAGAGCTGACCGGGGATTGATGTGTTCTCTGAGCAGGGTCTGCCTCCTCTGAGAGTTGAGCTTGGGAGCTTTGCGGGTGAGGCGAGTAAGGGCAGTGTCTACTGTCATGTCCAATCTCTGAGCATGAAGAACAGGTAGGGGGAAGCCAGTCATAAGCGACTGAGATGATATGCTCCTCTCCGGAGGGAAGTTTAACTGCAATGTTTCGAAGTGGGTGTCGTAGCAGATTAACATCCACAAATAGCCTTGCTACGGATAAGTTACTCTTGGTTGCCGATTGACGGTCTGGATACAGGGGTCTTCCGACCGAGGTAGCCAACCGACTTAGGCATTCCACCGTGAACATTGAACTCGGCAGATTGCGGAAAGAGACCCAGGTTGGTATTGAATCCAACACTGGCTTCGTTGCTGTCGATGTTGGATGCCATGGTGATACGAACATCGGCAGGGAACCAATGAACCAGAACTTCCTCCCAAGAGCAATTTCTTTTGCAGCTAAAGTTGGAAGTTTGAATAAGAATCTGCCATTTCCATCCTCATGCACCCTGATTCTACCTTTCCCTCGAGCCCAGATCGCGGTGGTGAAACCGACAAGCCTTCCTACTGTTGGTGGAAGGCCATAGAATTGACCAACCACGAAATCCTTCCATTCCTCCGCAGCATCTTGGAAAGCCTCCTCCGGAATCGTGACTAGTGGAATCCCCGTATGATGGGTGGTCGGAACTCCCACACGCTGCAGGGTACGCGTGGAAGAGACTAGCCGCTGACTCCAGGTGGGAGTCGGCGCAACTCCGGCTGGGGGTGCCGTTTCCTGGGCCTGGCGAGGTTCGTTTGCCGGCGGAACATCCTTGGGTGGAGCTACAGAGTTCAATTTCTGATTTTTGTTGTCGCAGACCGGGGTTGGAAGAAGACCAACCCGGAAAGAGGGAGAAGAGGAGGTTCTCTGTAGAACGGTCGAGGTTCGCTGGGGCACCACAACCGGGGGAGAATGGGGAAGGGAA